TTGTGCAGACTGCAAGTAACAACTGAATAGCTCATCAATTTTTTTTAAAATACAATGACTTATGTACATAGCATGTACTTGCGAATGGGGGCAATAGCACAAAGCCAGAAATACAGGTCCATCAGAGCACACAAGAAGCCGGTCCAAGAAAGCAACTGGTGTCCTATGTCAAATTCCCAAAATAAGTTTGCAAGAACAATGCCATAGCCTCCAGAGCGATCAGCCTGGCTAAACTGAATGAAGGCAAGATGAGCTTTCCTGGTGTGGAGTTTCACCCCATCATTATCACGCCGTGGAAGTTTGCCCATCACAGACTGCATGGTTGTAGTCAGTTCTGGTTTTCCCTGGACTGGCTTTTCCCATGCACTTTAAATATCCTCCTCCTACACACCATCCATGTATTTGTTGAATTCTTACAGAAGGCCGGCTAAAAGTAAAACAAGCTACGTATAGGAAGATAAAACTAACGAAACTCAAACAAAGCTTACTGTGATCAGTGCTACCGAGCCAGGGGCTGACACACGAACAGAATAGCAATAATATCACAAGGGTATATTACCAAGGGCATATTATTAAAACTTACAGGTACAATTTAAAATGCTTCCAGTACAGCCCTTTCCTCGCACCCTCAGAGTCATGAGGACGTGCAAGAGCCAAACTACCTGCACACAGCGATTATCTCAACCATGCTAGAAGGATAGGAACGATGGGGAAGATAGGACAAGAACACAAAGAAACCCAAAAAGACACGGGAGAAATAATATACTGCAAAATAATGGCAGCTCTGAAAAGACTTTTGCCGGCAAAAGTCAGCTGCATCGAAATATCAGATCTCAACCAATTTCCAAGCATATCAATACGAACAGTTTGTGATAATTCATAGTACAAGTCTCCAATAACCTACTCACCTAAATCAATTGCTAATCATCTTCCCAATCGCCACCAGAGTCGTCACCACTGGCTGACCGGCCCCGGTTCTTTGGCGCAGGAATCATCTTAGAGATCTTGTCCATAGCCCCTGAGCCAGAGGGTGGAGCTGGAGGACCATCATCAGTGGTATCAGCGTCGGCAGCCGCTGCTTTCTTCGAACCCGATATTCCCTTGCGTCGCAGGGTCAACTTGCTCATCAGGTCACCCATCAGATCACCACCGCCTCCCCCTCCGGAGGCTGATTTTTCCTCCTTCACCGCCTTCTTCTTTATCTTCCTCTCCTTGGCGGACTTAAGCTTCATCTTGCCGCCACCGGCGTTACGGATACTTTCCAGTAGGGACGAACGTCCTCCTCCTCCTCCTCCTCCTCCATCGTCTCCGTCTGAAGAAAGCGGTGGACCAGCATCACCTCCATCGCCTGTAGGACCCACTGGTGGGAGAGGAGCATCCATTGCGGGCGGAGGGGGTGGTGGCGGCGGGGGTGGCGGAGGAGGTGGTGGAGCTCCCCCGCCCTCTGGCGGTGGCGGTGGAGGTGCCGATGAAGACGATGACGGTGGCGGAGGCGGTGCACTGGAATCTCCTCCGGCTTTGCCTTCCTCTCCCACAGCAGGCAAGTCTGGTATTGCAGTAGGTACGGAGGGTGCAATGGATGGAAGATCTGCATCATACAGGACATCGTCAGCAACACCGGGTAAATCAGGCAATGAGGACGGCGCGTCAATTTCCGGCACTTCTCCCATTGCCGGCGCGTAGAAATAGCTGTCCTGCTGTGCGCGGCCCAGCTGCTCTCGTTCCAGAATAGATTTCGGAGCTTCGGCCAGTGCTCGTGCCTCATCCTCCTCCACGCTCTTCCTTGTTTTGGTCTGTGCTCCAAGTAGTGGATCTATCACAGAGTACTTCTTGTACGGGTTTTCCGTCGTGTTGAAGAGGAGCATGGACGAGACCGAGGTAATGTTGCCAGGCAATCCACCCAAGCCTTCGCCAGCTTCTTCATCCTCACCTGCAGCGCGTTTGGTCTTGCGCTTGGTCACCTTAACACGGACATCAAAGAAGTGTAGCTTCTCCTGCAGTAGATGCCCGTCCACTGGCGGGAACCTAGCGTCATCCTTCAGTCGAGTGTAGTCTGGGCGGACTAGTTTCTCCACGTCATCCCGCTTATACAGCGAATGGTACGCATCCACATTCTTCGGTGCGGGGAATTTTGAACTGGAGAAGACCTTGGTGGCCTTGTTACGGCTGGATTTGATCTTATCCACCTTGGCCTGGGCTGAATTGACGCGAGTATTGATCTCTATCAAGCGATCCCTGTTGTCGGCAACTCGGCCGCTGATTTTCGTAAACACGTCGTTCGCTACGTTATCCAGATAGTCCAGAACATCAGCGATCTGCCGCAGCGATTCCTCTTTCCGAAGGTCAGGGAGAATCACAGGGAAATTGTAGACCTGTAACGACGACATCCTTGCGAGTATTCCAAAGAATCAAGCAACCACCTAGAACTGTAGCAGCATTATTGCTACTACTTACTAGTACATTTCAATTTCGTTTTTGTATCAAGTTATTTTGAAGATTTGCTGTTATTTGCTGTTATGTAGTCTACCATGCATCTTGCTCTGTGTTGCAAGCATGCATGCACTGCACATCTGCATGCTGCTCGATCGAGTACGAGATGTCACTGCACTGCACAGACTCCGAGTCAGTGAGTGGCAGCTCATGACTCATGTACTCTTGCCGTCTCTTCTTGGTGGCAGGCATCACCATGATCACTCATCGATGCAGCGCTGACTGGATTTCTATGACCAAGCTGGCAGGACAGTATGATCTACAAAATAATAATTAATGTACATCATACAATCATGTACATTGTATAGCCACATGAGTCTACCATGATGAAAAAGACTGTGCATCTTTTCTTTTCGCGCATGACTCACACAGCATACGTAGAGTCACGAGTGCTAGCCTGCTTCAAAACTTGAGAACGGGTTTATTCACAATCGTGTGAAACCATGAAGTAAAAATACAAAGGAAAACTCCGAAAAGACAACCCAAATTCGGAAAATGCTAACTGTATTATACTGCTCTCTCTTGGTCTACCTCTCCCTATTACCTTTATTGTTATTATTATTCTCTCTCCCTCCCTCCCTCCCTCCCTCCCTCCCTCCCTCCCCCCTCTCTCTCCCTACTTCCCTCCCTTTCTCTCTGTCTGTCTGTATGTACATGTATGTATGTCTGTCTGTCTGTCTCTCTCTTTGTCTCTCTGTCTCTCTGTCTGTCTCTCTGTCTGTCTGTCTGTCTGTCTGTCTGTCTGTCTGTCTGTCTGTCTGTCTGTCTGTCTGTCTGTCTGTCTGTCTGTCTGTCTGTCTGTCTGTCTGTCTGTCTGTCTGTCTGTCTGTCTGTCTGTCTGTCTGTCTGTCTGTCTGTCTGTCTGTCTGTCTGTCTGTCTGTCTGTCTGTCTGTCTGTCTGTCTGTCTGTCTGTCTGTCTGTCTGTCTGTCTGTCTGTCTGTCTGTCTGTCTGTCTGTCTGTCTGTCTGTCTGTCTGTCTGTCTGTCTGTCTGTCTGTCTGTCTGTCTGTCTGTCTGTCTGTCTGTCTGTCTGTCTGTCTGTCTGTCTGTCTGTCTGTCTGTCTCTCTGTCTGTCTCTCTCTATCTATCTCTCTCTCTCTCTCTCTCTCTCTCTCTCTCTCTCTCTCTCTCTCTCTCTCTCTCTCTCTCTCTCTCTCTCTCTCTCTCTCTCTCTTTCTTTCTCGTTGGAGCACATCTTGTTACCTGGTTATGATGTTCTTTCTTGGTCACCACTCCCCTATTACCTTTATTGCTATTATTGTTTATGTATTGTGCTTTTGATTTATCGTGCTTTTGATTTCTTCCGTTTTTGCCTTTTTGGTGCGTTATCTTGACAAGAAACCATTAGTAGTATCAGGGAGTCGTAAAATACGACTTTACGACTCCCTGGTAGTATTTTACGACTCCCTGGTAGTATGATTACCTAAATGGCCTCCCGACCTTGCGTCGAATGCTAGAGGCCCTGCACTGGTCCTGCAGCCCTAAAGCACGTGACTGCCCATCGCAACAGGCAAAACGAAACCCGGGTGCGTAACTCACCCATCACGGCAGAATACACCAAGTCTCTGTTTTTGTCTACAACCAAACCAGCTAGTGACTTCAGAAATATGTTGGTTTCCTTGCCCGCCACACCCGAGGTCGAAAACACCAGTGGGGTGAATGATGCTCTCTCCACCTGGTTGACTCTGGCACTATACGCCACCTTCTTCATTCTCTCGCGTGTTCTCAGGTGGCTAAGGATTTCCGGACGAGACAGCAAGGACGGCCCAAGGTCAGTGACCCTTAGTAGGCCTTACATCAAAAAAGGCGTCCTGCTGCCGCGACCAGAAACCCCCTAGCCCGTATGTCCAGGCACGCCTCTGGCTGACGATTAGCTGAGGCGGCAGAGATGTCCTCACCGTGTAGTGGGAGCAAACGTGGCTCAATCTCGGCATCGGTCAGTACCTCCAGCAGAGCCCAGCCAGAAGGTCCCGAAGCTCGTTATGGCGAGCGACGGAAACCGCCGGTCGGGCATGTGAGGGTGTGGTGAGTAGATATGGACTACCCACAGACACAATGATGACTCTCTTTTTTTACTATGTTCACATTCCCAGCTCGAAAAAAAGAAAGAAAGACAATGGTACTGAGACTAGGACAAACGTGACAACTACTGAGCAGGGGGCTGCACCGAGACGCAGCAGTGCTGGGGGGGAATTGATGGCTCAGCCCTCGGCATCACGGCCAAAAACACGCACCAAAAAAACAAGAGATATGACTGTACTGGTCAGCAAAATGAAAACACCAGCAAGTGTGAGGGAGGAACTATGATACTATGTAGAATTACAGGGGTTGTGACTGAGAGGAGCATCATTATGGCCGATCATGGCGAGTTGATTGTCCGAGCCAGTTGTGTTGCGTAGATCGGGTTAAAATTAATGTTTGGATTCTAATGCTGTGGGGAGGCTGGGAAAGAAGTGCGGCGGAGAGGGAGTTCCAATCTCTAATGCTGCAGTGTGGAAACGAGCGCTTCATTGCCAGCGGGACAGATGCAAGCAGCTGGTGTTGGAGCTGGTGGTCATGGCCAATGACCCTACCGTGCTCGCTGCGAGTACTGGGGCTGGTAGAGGAGAAATGGCGCGGTGGAAAAACAGAGAGCAGCTGCGGAGGACCAGACAGGTACTTGCAGCTTGTACAGGCAGCGCAGGCAAGCGAGGCAACCGTACGGCGGATGGCCAGTGCACCTGGACCGATGATTCGCAGAGCACAGCGTTGGATATGATCCAGGCGTTGCTGGTAGCTGGGCGGAGCACCTATCCAGATGAGACTCAGAGAGGGGGGGGGGGGGGTACTCCATAACGGGTCGAACAAATGCCTTGTACTGTATACGGTTCGAAGAAAGTTTTAAATTTGACTGTAGTGGTATATCCCTGGACATTTAAATTAATTGTTTTATTTTTAACAACCCAGCCCTATGTTTATTGCTAATTTATGTAGCATATACTGTAACACGTGTAGTTTTCCTCACTGTTTATTTCTATTGCATGATTTGCATCAGGAGATCCCCTCGACAGGCCATCGCCTCTGGGAGATCCTTTAATAAAGATTATATTATTATTATTATTATTAACTGGTTTGAGGGAAAGAGACAAACGGGAAAATTCTGAAGAAAAAATTGACTGTCACCACCAGGACTCGAACCAGGGACCCTCGCTTGTAGCCAGCGATGCTCTAACCACTGAGCTATGGTGTAGTCGTCATCCCAGCAGAGGCCGTTCAACGTTTTCTTCAGACTTCGTAACTCACACTTCCTGTGAATCCACACAGGCGGGTGGGACGCAGCCCTCACTGTAACCCACACACTTCACGTACAAACTAGCACGCGGGGAGCCCCAAGTCATAAAATATTAACTGGTTTGAGGGAAAGAGACAAACGGGAAAATTCTGAAGAAAAAATTGACTGTCACCACCAGGACTCGAACCAGGGACCCTCGCTTGTAGCCAGCGATGCTCTAACCACTGAGCTATGGTGTAGTCGTCATCCCAGCAGAGGCCGTTCAACGTTTTCTTCAGACTTCTTATTATTATTATTATTATTTGCCCAGCGCGGGCTTGCGACTAGTTGGTTTGGAGGTGACAGCGTTGCGAATGACCGAGGGTCCTCAACGTCTGGTCTCACCGTCCAGGAGCGACACTGACTCACGCTGCTATCTGGTGTTCACGAGGTGTTTATCGCGCTGGAAGCGGAGCGTCTCTGTAAGTTTGTATCCCTGGTGATGTTTGTACCTGAAGAGCACTATATAAGTGGTGCTCTTCAGGCACAATCTTCCTCAGCCTACTCAAGCTCAACTGATGAGGGGTGAATTCCCCGAAACACTGTGTATTGAGCAGGGAGTGGTGCTTTCTTGCAGGTTTGCCGAGTCGAAGGTTCGATGGACTTCTCGTGTGCTCTGGATGGCAGTCGTGAGTCAGTCAAGTGTCAAGTAAAGTCGGCGGAATAGCGCGAGCTCCGGTGTGGGGAGCAAACCCTTTCTTACAAATTATTATTATATATATTATTATTATGAAGGAGATGCGCCATCTGCGGGCCCCACTGATGCAAGCGATCAACAGAAGTCTGGAGGTTCAATGCAGCGTCGGCTGGGGATCAGGGGATATGTCGAGGGATATGAGGCTGGGTATACAGGGTTGTATCGTCAGCGTAGATCTACGCCTCCAGGTGCTCTCCGGGTGAGAGAGCCTCTGAGGCGTCGTTCACGCAAATCAGGAAGAGTGTGGGCCCGAGTATACTCCCTTGCTGATTTGGTGTACAGCGATGATGTTTGGCCGCCCACTAAGCATTGAAGGGACCGTCTATCTAGGTAGGAAGAGAGCCAGGTATGCAGCCTATTGCAGGGGGCCGCCAATGCCAAGGTGGCGGACTTTGTGGAGAAAGCCACGGCTAGAATACGTGCTGCATCGCCTCACACACTATCCAGTGGCAAACCATAGCGTATGCATAGCGCGTCTCTGAGATCCAACTTCTTCAGCACGGCGCGGTTTTCCCGAGACGGTTGTGCTGTTAACCACCTTGACACGCCCTTTTCGTCTGCTACTGCGAGCAGTTGCCGCTGGACCTGTGAAAGTTCCGCGGAAAGCTCTGTCAGCTGCTGCCAGCACCCACCGACTTTTCCGGGCGCTTTTGTCGGGCGATGCCTCGTGCCTCGCCAATGGCTTCAAGAACGTGATTGACCATGCCCGGGACGACACTCAATACGACGCTTTGCGAGTTGTGGTCCGGACTGATGGCTGGGGCGTCTCGGTCGCTCTCATTTGGGTGGACGTCGATCAAGTTCACTATGAGCGCTGTGAGAGCAAGTGATGCCTGATGCTCTCCCTCTGCAGACTTTGCTACCATAGGTATTGTCAAGCCCCCGAATCGCGTCGGGAGGGCAGGATCTGTCTCTGCGAGCTGTCAGCTGCAATTCTCTAGCCCAAAAGGACAAAGAAGAAATTAATTGATGATCCAATACCTCATCTATTTAGAAGGTGCCA